AAAAAGGTGGATAGAGGTCATAGAAGAAGGGAGGGTAAAACTTAATGGTGGGCGTGGCGTGCACAGAAGTGGGCGGGGTTTCCTTAACACGTTGACGACATTGTGCAGCGCATGCGCATCACACCTTGAGCACCGTGTGGGACCGTGTGCAGCGCATGCGCTGCACACACAAATTATTAATTTTTTTCGCGCATGCGCTACTTCTTTTCTAATTTTTTGCATCTATTCTATAGACCACACCATAATATGACTAGACACGGCGAGGTTCATCGAATGGTTGAATATGCTCCTTTTTAGCGAAGGTTTTCTCCTACGAATTTCCCAATTGTGTTCATTCCTAGTTTTCCTTTATATTCTGACAATCTTGGTCATAAAAAAGAGTAGTAGAAGTAAGTACAGACCTACACATATAGCAAGATATATGTTTTTAGTGGAGCAACCGCGTCAAAAATAATTTTGAGGTTCACTACAGCAAAAGCAACTGAAACTTGCCTTTTCATTGCCAGAAAACGTCAATTCGATCGAACTTTTACAGTTGTTCCTTCTGATAAGTTTGACACATCGAATATCATTCGAAACATTTTGTTGCATCCGAGTTTTGCGTATTAAAGCTCAAAATTCACGGATTTTATGTGAGGCGGCGGCGCCTGCAAAATCGCCGTGGTCCCACGCGGTGCAAAAACCCAAAACGCGCGTTGTCGTCAACGTGTTAAGTTTATAATTCGGTCACAAGAAGTCCCAGTAACCGGAGAAAAAGTGGATGAAGGTCCATAACGGAAATGAGATAAACTGCTGTCTGTGGACGGGGCATGCGTCGAAGTGGGCGGAGTTATCCACAAGACAATATAGCTTGGTTCCAAAAAGTCCTAGAAACCACTAAAAAGTGAGATAGAGTCCGGCAACGGAATGGAGGCCAAATTCTATTGTGGGTGGAGCGTCACCGAGGTGGACGACTTCTGAAAGCAAGCGTTTTAAAAATATCGATGGCCTGTTTTATACCGCAGCAGTTCCGTATGCGTACGCATGCGTGCGCAGCCAAACTGGTGTAAAATATATAAGAGATGAGGCTTCGAGACCGAATGCAATTTCAGAATGAAATTCGATTGATAAACAATAACCGAGAATAATGGC